GCGTATTCGTCGTCTGCTCCTTATCTAGGCTCGTTTATTTAGCAGTCATCCCCGCGATATGCTTATATAAATATTTTTGTTGAATATAAGATGTTTAAAAGGTTAAATAAAAAATAAATTTTCTTTTTGAATAATATGTAATTGTTATTCTGTTTTTGAATTTCAAAACAGCAAAAACCAACGATAGAAAACAACATTTTTTTCTTCTGGAATGCACCATATTGATATTGAATCTGAACGAGGACGGCTAAATGCAATGAACCATCGTCAACGTCACTGCCGTATTTTTACATAATTTTACTTGAACTTCGAAAGGAAGAAGCAAAGGTAAAAAGTTCATTCAAAACCGTTTAAAATTTTATTAGTTTTTGAAGAAAAACTTAAAAGGCGGAAATGTTGTGTTTATTTTAACTAAACCATCAAGTGTCACCGTAACTGTATAAAAGCTATTGTATTACTTAATACAATGTCAACCCTCCTCCTTGTCCTTCGTTATACAAGCACTAAAAAATTCATAAATTTTTTCTTTACTATACACATCAGGTTTCTATTATCTTTCCATAACAAAAAAACTAACATTAACCAATGTTAACTCTTTTGTTTGGCTAGTATATTTCAGTGAGAAACAGGAAGAACAGAAAAAAGCAAGTTAAAAAAAAGTAGTTTGCGGAAAACAAATTTAACAGTAATTTTCTAGCTGTAGTAAAGAAAAAGAATAATTTTTTCACAGGCATCAGAGAGTAAAAAAGAAAAATAAGAGCATTGCTAATCAGGTTCATTTTGAGCTGAGAATGTCAACAATGACTTTCTGAAAGAAGATCTTTGGTTAGGAAGTTTAGTTAATTGTAGCTGACGTCATTATTCTTCTTAAACAATGAAATTACAATTTCTGGTTTCCTAAGTCCTGTTCAGCTTCTCCATTTTTTGCCACTTATTTATTCATTTTTTTAAAAATTAAAATTTTCTTTGTTAGCTGTAATAAAACATTTGAAGCAACAATTGAATTTTTAAAAGTGTCTTTCATTCTTAAATTTTCTTCTTTATATTCTTCAGTTTTATGACAAAATAAAGAAAGTAAATTGTAAATCACCATGATTATTAATATTATTTTTGGCTTTGGAAGTATTAACTGGGCTAGGTGTTTTTATACGAAATCACCGCTATGATTATTTTGGAATACTTTTCGGCAGCTTTTTAGATCAAATCTTCTCTGTTGCATGTGAAAATTAATTTTTCGTACGCAGAAAAAGTGCCAAAAGTACAGCATAAAATTTATTATTATGGTTCTTTTGTTTTCAAAAACTTTGAATTTTTTTATCAGTTAACAGATAAAAAACTGCTTCTTTTCTTTTGTTGTTCAATATAAAGATCTGCCTGCTAAAAAATGCATATTTAAGGCATATAGAGTTCATCAGTAATAAGAGCAAAATTGTAGACGAAATGATGGTGTAAAGCACTGTAGACAGTTTTGATCTGCAAAACTCTATTGTTTTACTGTATTCTAAATGCTTAATTATTCGTCTTTTTTTCTTAATTTTTTT